CCCCAAAACCCCAAAACCCCAAAACCCCAAAACCCCTGTTTTTAATGTGGTTATTGAAAGCTATAAAGCAATTAGTCAAATTCAAGTCCAGAGAAATGGGATACTTTGTTACTATTAACCCCTGTCTTTTTCTTCTCGTTATAGCCACCTACTGCGCGTTTCCCCTTACCTTTATTGATTCTGGGGTTGTCTAAATCTACTGATTCAGGTTCTTCTCCTCTTTTCTTTGCGAATTTAAGTTCTCTCCTCTGAGCTTTGGTCATTTTCTTTTGAGATTTTTGTTCAAAGAAATCTTTGTCGAATTTCTTCTCCATTTGGTTGGTGAATTGCTGATTTTTCGTTGAGTAATGAATTCCAACCTCAGTCCTAGGATCAGCTGCCGACAACATCGAAGCATCAGAAATTGTTTCACTTTGTCCATCTTTAGACTCTTCATCGGGTTCTGGGATGCTGAATTTCATGGTATATTCGACGTTTGATTGGTTCACATATCCGTGTTTCTCTGGATCGTAATCTGGTCTCAGATGTACGAAGAGCAGTTTCCCATTGTTGTAATCCTTGAGCATTATTCTAGCTGCTTTGTTTTCATCAGGTAGCCCTCTTCCAGTAACATATCCCTTGAATCCTGAGTAAACTTGTAGGACTTCACTTGCAGAGTATGTTTCAGGAAGTGAAATCTTATACTCTTGTTCGAACATCTCCTTCGGTATTCTTTGAGCTACCAGCTCCATAGGTCCTTTGATATCTCTCAAGTTATCAATTGGGATTACTCCTCAGCAAACCATTTCAGATTTTGAGGATGCAAAACTAGGAAAGACCAGTCCTGGGCAATCTCATAGGCATATATCGCTTCCTAAGTAGATTGTTTGGAAATGCTTTGTTTTACCTGGTCTCGAAGCAACTCCAACTTTCTTAGACCCACAGAGAACATTAATTACAGAGGATTTGCCTACATTAGGGTACCCAATCATTCCAATGTTGTGCCTTCCGTCTTTTCCCTCAGGTTTGTCACATCTTTGCTTCATAAAAACTCTGATGAGTCTCATGAGTTCCTCTCTGCTATAAATAGTGGTATCATCAAGAAGGGAGAGTTCACCTTTTTCAAGGATCTCATCTACTTTCTCAAGTTCTTTAGTTTCTTCTTCGTCTTCTTGAATGGCTTCTCTGATATCTCCTAGCATCTCGTTGGCTACGCCGGTTTTGGGGAGATCCTTGGCTTTATTTTGCTGCTCTTGGCGCTCCATTCTAGTCTTTTCTGCCATTGCTGAGAAGAAGATATGCTCTACACCTTTTTCCTTAAAGTAATCATTCCAGTGCTGGATCTGTGCCTCGTCTAAGTAATCAGACTTGTTAAGAAGTAAAAGGTAGTGCTTATTACCATCCAACTCCTTGATATACCTTTCAAGATCTGCAGAGTAGTAGAAGTAAGGATTACGAGCGTCGACTATTTGGATGAGAATTTGGCATCTCTCTACAACACTCCAAAGTTGTTTCCAGACTGCCAGGTTCTTTTCAAATGGAGTCATTGCGAGGTTGACATTCCCTTCTTCCATAAATGCTACATCTCTTCTCCATTCTAGGAAGGCCTTGTTCTCATTGGTAATGAGCTCTGCCTTGGTCATATTTTTGTTCCAGGCAGGTTTCCTAGGGAGCTTCAAAGGAGCGTATTTCGGCCTGATGATGCCCTTATCAATAACATGTTCAAATACTGCTAAGTTAGGATTTTTGGATGATTCTGCCTCTTCACTAATCTCTTTTCCCCGAAGTACCTGTGCTTTCTTTTGACTTAGGCTAACAAGGTCAGCGAACTCGTTAAGAGAGTCTTGTTCTAATATACTCGTCAAGTCCGTTCTCTCGAACTTCCTGTCCTCGAACCTATGCAGGTCGGAGACATAATTCTTCTTATCGGTCTTCTTTTTTAAGTTATTTATCAGAGACTTTCCTAAAGAAGCATTCGTCCCCTTGCTCTTCTTCTTTTTATTGTGTTTACCCATTTTATGTGTTGTATAAATTAACCAATTATTATCAATTTTTTTCACCGAGAAAGGGGTTTTGGGGTTTTGGGGTTTTGGGGTTTTGGGG